TGCTGCTTGCCCGGCCGGCCTCGTGCGCCCCAGGTAAGCACCGCGGAGACCCTCCGGCGCGACCCTGCCTTCTTTATTGCTGTTATTTTCAAAATCCTGCTTTCCCCGCCCATCCTCTTTTATTCTCCACCGCTCCCTCGCCGTCCTTTCTTGAGATGCTTTTCCATTCTTCTCGGGCCCAGCAAATACAGGCACGGGGAAAATAAAGAGAAAAAGCAAGCGGATTCCGGCCAATCTTGCTAAAGGTCTGCAAAGCTATTCTGTTATCCACGGAGTCCGAGGCGGATCTGGTGGCGTCGTCTTAGAATGTGCCTTTATTTTTCCTGCAAAACCGCAGGCGATGGGATTGTATTTGTGCATGGCCATATGAATGTGGTTACATCAAATTTTTGGAAATACTTTATTGTCGGGTCGAAGGGGTACATTCGGTGTGTGTGCTTTAAAACAGTATTGCATTACTCTGGGTAACCCTGCGTCCCCCAGATGCAGGCAGCTGGCCGTGTCCCCCAGTGCACGCAGGACACAAAGAACAGTCAAAGAATATCTCTTGGAAAGCGCCCCGGCCATGAACCTTTCCAGGGAAATAGCTATTGCTATTACTTCTGCAAAGGCTTTAGTACAACAGAGTGTGAAAATATTGTGATTCTTGAGTGTCAGGGCATGAAAGGAGTGAGGGTTGTTTTTATAATAGGTGCAGTTTACTGACTGTTCGTAGGCATGGAATTAAGAGGCATGATTTATGAAGAAGCACGTGGGTGGGTTTTGTTGTGGAGGAAATGATTTAATTCATATTGCTTCTCTGAAATATTTATTTGTCCATCCCGAGCATACACACAGGATGGTCTGGAAACCATCTCTGAGCTGACGTGCTGCAAGCCAGTGATTGCCCCAGCTCACACACGCGACCACTTTGGGGGCAGGAAAGGAAAGGTGGAGTGAGCAGAGTGCAGAGCTGAGCAAAGCCAGAGGGTCATGGAAGCAACTCCAGATCCTCCCTTCTCATGGGAGCAGTGCCAGAGGACTGCCAAGTGGCTTTGGAAGGAAATGGAACACGTTTGAAGGTGTCCCTTGGACTTCACTGTCAGAATTATAACCAGTGCCACATAGAGGCTGGTACAAAAAAGCACAGGAAGGGACTTCAGTGATCATAGAATGGAATTGCTCCTCTAACTGAAGAAACTGACACACAGAAGTGACTTGCTCAAGGTCACAGGCTAGTTGGTGCAGGGTCATGACTTTCCCCGTCTCCTTACTGCTCTTGACCTGTGGACTTATACACACCTGAGGCCTCTTCATAGATTTCCCATGGCTGGGAACCCTGCTCAGGGAGCTGCACCACAGCTGGGGCGACAAAATGGGTCTTTCAGACAGTATACAGAGAATGCAGACAGCTCTGCCTGACCCAGCACCTCAGGTCTCAGTCCTGCCCTCTGCGTGCCCTGGCCAGTGTGTCCAGAGGGGAGGAGGCTTTCTGTGAGAAGAGATAATCATGAAGCGTACTCTTGGCTCTGTAGTCACCAAAGAAAGCCCATCTGATGCTGATGGACTCATCTGCTGTGGGACACGCCAAACTAATCCTTCCCATTAACTGAGTGCTTCCTGCGTGCCAGGTGCTGCATTTTACATACATAAGCCAATCACATTGTGAGTGAGGCTTCATTATCCCCACTTAACAGATGAGAAAACTAAGGCTTCAGGAGTTGAGGTTAGTTTGACTCCAAACTCTGAGCACGTAACCTCTGTACAGCTTCCACATGTGAATGTGGCCATCTGGACATGCTGCAGATGTTGTGGATGGTGTAAGTAATTCTTTTGATAAACATTAAATAAATGGAGCTGTTTGGAGTGTCCCTCCATAACTGTCTCTTCTTTACAAGTCTGTTCCTGTTTCCCCTTAACCCTCAATACAAATATTCCACCCGGAGACTTGAAATTAACTGTATTTCCGCTCTTGAGCTGACATCACAGATGCAGAGGCTTCATCCTTTCACTAATTGGCGTATTGGGCTCTTCTGGTTTGCACAGCTGCTTCTAGGCTGCGTCAGAGAATGGGAACTGAAGAAGGGGAGGACATGGTGTGCCTGTCCTCAAGTATCCAGTTGGGGACACGAAGCGGTACATAAGTGAGTGCAGACCCTTGCACAGACTCTCCCCAGGCAAGAAAGGCAGCCAGTAAAAGGGCTTCTCAGGGAAGACCTCTTAAAGGTGGTCCCGATCCACTTTGAAGGCTGTGAGGAGCCATATGGATAGAGGGTGGCTTCCTAATGTAGGATACCTGGGCGTGGTGAGTGGTGGGTGATCCTGGGGAGATGCTACATTTTAGTTGTTTGGCCCACGTCTTGTCTCTGTGCCACTAGGACCCTCTGGCTCCCAGGCCGAAGTGTTGTATTTTTACCATCAGAGTTGGGCTGGCGGAGGCTCTGCCGAACCCTGCTGTGGTGGTTGTCTTTCTGAAGAGTACATGGTGCTAGGCGGAAAGTGGCACGTCTCACTCCTGCCTTGGCTTTCCTAGGTTAGGCTACAGTCCCTTCCGTGGCTGCCTGCAGACTGTCTCCTCTTTCCGCAGGTTTCTCTTTCCTTGTTAATTTTTGTTAGATGGAGTCCACTTTCCAGTTGGTCCTCTTAGTTCAGTCTTTATTGAAATTTCCATGTTTCATTGATTCTTGTCTATTTCTGTTTCATTCAGCATCTTGACTGTGCTCTTTTTTGTTTGTTCGTTTAAACATTTATAAGTTTGGTCGTAACAGTTCACTGTTGTGGAAACAATTTGTAATCTTTTGGACTTGTTTTTGAACATAGTGCTCTTAGGAGATCCTACTTCCATCCACAATATAAAAAGAAAGAATTGTGCCTCATTTCTTCATCTTATTCAGGGATAAGTCTTTCTTAAAATAATAGTTATTATGAAATTGATAACTTTGGAAATTATTGGAAGGTATAGAAAACAGGTACCCATAATCCCACAACCTATAGATAACACTGTAAATAGTTTTTTCCTGAAAACAGTTTTGTCTTTCTTTTGTTAACATTAGAAAAAAAGAAAATTGAATTATTTGTATTTACTTTTTTCACTCAGTACTTAACTTATGCATTTCCCTATTCATTAAGCACTGTTTGAAAAGTTTCTATCCTGATAATTTACTTAATTGTTCTTTTATTATTTCCAGCTTTTTTTTGCTGTTATAAATAATGCTATGATGAATAGCTATGTAGGTAAGGCTTTTCTGTATTTCTTTGTGTGGGATTTTTAAAAAATATACATTTCTAGAAGGAAATTTAGAATGTAATTTAGATGTAAATTTAAATCTAGGCTGGATCTTCGCCTGTTTTGTTCAGTGTGCTGGGTGCCTGATACGTGCTTAGTAGGTGGTTGTTGAATGAATCAACTTTTTATGTAAAGCTGTAACACTGAAATTAACTGGAGCAGTTTATGCAACTCACTGTTTCACTTCATCATCACTAGCATTGAATATTTTTAAAACCCTTGTTAAATAAATTTGTAACGTGTTGCTTTAATTTTTTTTATTTTGAGTTGAATATTTTTTGTTTATTTCGTATTTGTAGTCTGTGGATTTTCTATTTTTGCTTATTTATCCGTTGTAATATACATCTACTAAAGTCTTTATATATTAAAGATAGCAACCATTTTTTCTCCTTTTTGTTGCATTTTACCCCCCAATGGACTTTCTTTTAAATTTTATATAATTTTGAAATTCCTAAGTTTTGATTATTTTGATTAGCAAAATCTGCCATTTTGTTTTTCTTTTTTTTTCATTGCGTTTATGCTTAATGGCATGTTACATTTTTATCTTAATACATTGTGATTAGCATTTTGAGATGAATATTTGTTACACATTTTGAGTGGTTCAGTGGCCTATAAACAGAGACTTAGATAAATGTTTCAAAGGTGTGACCCCTAGACTCCTACATCAGCATCCCTTGGGGATGTTGGGGTGCTTGTTAAGAATTTCGATTTCTGGGGCCCACCCTTGACCTACAGTAGAATGTTTGGTGGTCGTAACTGGGAATGTTCCTTTTTAACAAGTTCACAGCTGAGTTTTAGGCACTTCCACCTTTGGGACACTGATCCAGATACCATAAACCTGTAACTGAAAGTTAATGGCATTTTAGGGATATACCACTTAATATCATGCAGTCTGTTCACTATTAGAACAATCAGTTTAAAATCGTGACGTTGAAACTGTTCTTTGTTGTATCTTTTTTGCTTGGTTCTCTTTGGGCTGGGAATCAGAGGGCGTAGAGGACATGATTTTAAATCCTCACCTCCTGGCCACTGGGGAACAGCTGCTGCAGTCTTCGTCAGGAAATGCCTCATTTAATCCTGAAAACAGAACCCAGCCAGGGGTTGTTAAAAGTCACCCAGGACCTGGGAGCCACAGGTTTTCTCTCAGTGCCCTGGGTGCTAGAGGCAGCTAATTACTGTAATTATAATTACACTAGGTTGATTTTCCCAGATAGAAAGATGCTATTCTCACTGATCGAATTTGTTTCCAAGTTGTGCCCACCTACCTTTCACCTGCAACTCACAGCCACATGATTTCTCTTTCATGTGCTAAGGCAGCATGGTTTGTTGGAAAGCACATTGAACTGAGTTAGCAAACCCGAGTGTGCTCTTCTCAGCTGATGACTTGCTGTGTTCCTGTGGATGGGATACGCTGTCCTGGTTTTTTTCATCATTGTACAGAGGGGTCGCAGAGATTATCTCTAAGTTCCCTTTTAGCTCTTACATTTCAAAGGCCCCTGTTATGGGCAGTAACTGTCCTGTTTCTACTGAATGTTGGTGAGTGTCACCGTCTCACTGTCCTATAGGTGTTCTAGCCCAGTGACCTACTGAAGACCATTGCATGTAATTTTTCTTTAAAAAAAATCCTCCTCTACTCTTCCCACCTGCATCCCGACCCCCGGGACACATATTTTGCTCTCTCTTGTTCTATCTCTTTGTCTCGTCCGTTTTCCCATCTTTGTTGATAACGCGTTGGAGTAAGCTAGTGCTGTGGCTAGTGCTTTAGGCA